ATCCACAATCAACATCCACGGAAGCAGCAGTCAAGAAATCAGACAAAATAAAGTCATCAGATATTTCTACCTATATGTAGAATCACTATGAATGCAACTGTTACAAATGAAGGCTAATATACTGTATTGATAACTTAAGTAGACATGAATGGCAGTGCTGTCTGTTACACAGTGGCCAGGATGATGGGCTCAAGCATAACAAGAATTATGAGGATGACACAGGACTGGGCAGTGTTTCATTTTGTTGTACAGTCACTATGTGTCGGAGCTGACTCGATGGCAGCAAATGACGACAACTATAATACAAAGGAAAAATAAAAGGAAAGTAATTTATAATACCACCACCCGTTTGTCAGTTTGTCATACTGTGATGGCTTGCATGTTGCTCTGATGCTGGGAGCTACGCCACTAGTATTTCAAATACTAGCTGGATCAGCCATGGTGGACAGGCTTCAGTGGCGCTTTCAGACTAAGACCAACTTGGAAGCAGGGCCTGGTGATGAACTTCTGACAATCAGCCAGTGTCATGAGAGAGAATGCACACGAGCTGCTCTATGGAAACAGAATTTGCTCTGTAAACTTTCACCCAGATCACAATATTAAAAAAAAAAAAAAAAAATAGCCAGCAGAAACCTTATGGGTCACAGCAGAGCACTGTCTGATTCTCTTGTTTTGGACACATCATTGGGCATCAGGCAGGATCAATAACCAGAGGAGGGCATCGTGTGTGATGAAGTAAAGGCCAGCAAGGGTGAGGGAGACTTGAACATGCTGGTTGTTCATGATTTTCGAAAATCATATTCCAGTGGGAAAATCTGGTTATTTTACAAATAAACACAAAATATGTTTTTATAGGTTTAATACTGTGGTAGTTAAGTCTGTGTGTCAACTTGGCTGGACCTGGTTGAGTGGCTGGGCAGCTGGATGTAGTTATTCCCCATGGTGAGATTGGTAATTAACTCCATGGTGGAATCTATTGGAGCAGCTGAGTAGCTGCTTTAGGGATGTTGCCTGCTTCCCATATATAA